TATTTTATTCATTTTTACAAGTCATGTGACAATGCGATACGTACGACGTATTCGTAATGAGACTCATTTATAAATCTGCTGTCAACAAAAATAAGCATTGAGGTCTTCCTGCGCGTTTCCGCCAAAACAAATGTTGAGAAAAAGCAAAAACTCTTATCAACATCCATAAATGTTAGTATTGTAATTTTACTGTTGTTCTGTAAAATAAAATAAAAAGTAAGACAATAATAATGATAATAATCATTACAACAGCTCTGTTTTAATACATTTATTATAACATTCACACATAATGTTCAAATTAGGATCTGTAATATTTTCTAATGTTTTAAAAGAAGTCTCTTCTCAGCAAGGCTGCTTTTAATTGTATAGTAAAAAAAAAACTAAAAAAACATGCCTGATTCAAAAAGGGGGTCTGATGGCCAAAAATTATTATTTTAATATTAATTTTAAGTTAAATTGTGCTTTGTTGGTATAGTGTCTGCTAGAATGTTAAAAATGTTCAGTGCTAAATATTTTTAAATTGTTGTTTTGTAATTGATTTTTTTTTTCTTTGAAAAGCAAGGCAAAACAGTAAAAAGCACATTTTGGCTTTTTCATTTATGCAATGGTAAAATTTTTTTTGGCAAAATACAGGGGAAAAAAACCTCGAAAAACCGTGTTTGGTATTCGGTATCCAGTGTTTAATTTTCTTCGGTTTGGGATTCGGCCAAGAATTTTCATTTCAGTGCATTCCTATCACCCACAATGCTGGAATTATCTAGATGAATATGTAAATATGTGCTGTGCTTTCCTCTCAATAAAATAAACACATGACTAAAATAACAGTGGTGAGAAACCATCAGTTAAGAAAGCAACTGATCACAGTGATTTTGATATGTTTGCACCGGCTCTACAATTCGGCACTCCAGTCAAATCAAGTCACGACACGGCACATTTTTTTATATAGGACTTTATACAGTAGACTGCTTAGAAGCAAGCAGCTTTACAATATTAAACATGAAAAATATGTAGTATATATATATAGTTTTTTATGTCTATATTATTATTATTACTTTTAGTAATAGTTATTTTAGTACATAAAGTTAAACTAAATGAAAATAAGAAATGTTTCCTAGGGAACTAGCTGTTTATTATACAGTAAGTTTATTTTATTTCAAGTAACAAAAGTTACCAAATATAACCCTGATTAAAATACAACAAAAAATATAATCAAAGCAAAATAATGGAAATTATAAAGCCATACAAATATGTTTTTGTGGTAATGGGAACTGTCAAACCCTTTGTCCTAAAAATATTGAAAAACGTAATGGATCTATAAACAAACTTATATACTTAAATATCTAGTAATTCATTTATTGGTACTTTTGATTTAATACAATTATTCAACTTCACAGTAAAATCGTACACAAAATGTACAATATACACTTAAAGTGAAATGGTCAAATGTGACCTGCACATGTCCTCATATACTCTGGGTCGTGGATGGTTGTTACGTTCCCTGGGAGTTGTTGTTTTTGTTTTTATTTTTTCTTGTTACTTGTGTTTTCTTTTTCCCCAACTCCTAGGTTTCCGCTGAGTGGATGACTCACCGCCAATCATTATTAGGGTGTTCCATACTGCGACGAATCAGCTGACGGCCCGTGGCTTTAAAAGCTTCCGGTGCGCTCTGCCTGGGAGGCGAGGGCAGCGCAGGGAGCGCTGTTGGGGTGTGTAACGAGACTTTTTGGCTGTGCTCTGAGCGGAGAGCCTGTGT